TGGAGTGCCTCAAGGGTCAGTACTGGGACCGGTATTATTTATTATATTCATCAACGATTTAGATGAGGGAATTGAGTGTACTATCAGCAAGTTTGCTGATGACACTAAGCTGGGAGGAGTGGCTGACACGCCAGAAGGCTGTGCTGCCATCCAGCGAGACCTGGACAGGCTGGAGAGTTGGGCAGGGAATAACTTGATCAAATATAACAAGGGAAAGTGTAGAGTCCTGCATCTGGGCAGGAACAACCCCAGGTTCCAGTATAGGTTGGGGAACGACCTGTTAGAGAGCAGTGTAGGGGAGAGGGACCTGGGGGTCCTAGTGGACGACAGGATGACCATGAGCCAACACTGTGCCCTTGTGGCCAAGAAGGCCAATGGCATCCTGGGGTGTATTAGAAGGGCGGTGGTTAGTAGGTCGAGAGAGGTCCTCCTTCCCCTCTACTCTGCCCTGGTGAGACCACATCTGGAATACTGTGTGCAGTTCTGGGCCCCTCAGGTCAAGAAGGACAGGGAGCTGCTGGAGAGAGTCCAGCGCAGGGCAACAAAGATGATTAAGGGAGTGGAGCATCTCCCTTATGAGGAAGGCCTGAGGGAGCTGGGTCTCTATAGTTTAGAGAAGAGGAGACTGAGGGGTGACCTTATAAGTGTCTATAAATATATAAAGGGGGAGTGTCACGAGGATGGAGCCAGGCTCTACTCAGTGGCGAACAATGATAGGACAAGGGGTAATGGGTGCAAACTGGAACACAAGAGGTTCCACTTAAACTTGAGAAGAAACTTCTTCTCAGTGAGGGTGATGGAACACTGGAACAGGCTGCCCAGGGAGGTTGTGGAGTCTCCTTCCCTGGAGACATTCAAAACTCGCCTGGACACATTCCTGTGTAACATTACCTAGGTGTTCCTACTCCGGCAGGGGGATTGGACTAGATGATCTTTTAAGGTCCCTTCCAATCTCTAGCATACTGTGATACTGTGATTTGTGTTCACTCCTAAGTAGCCTCTGCACAATGAAAATGTGACATATTTGGCTTTCTTAATCTCTGGTGCAGTTTCAGGCTAACTTACACCATTACTCACCTGAGTTTGCATGCGTGTTAGCCTTTTAATTCACTTTAAAATTTGCCTTATTTTAAAGATAATCTCTGGGTAATGCACACATGCTGTGTTTTAGTTTGCATAGCAGAACAGTATATAAACCTCCGAATTAAACTATACTGATACACAGTAGGTATTACATATCTTGGCTTACGGATGGTAGGCCAAGAGATGTCATAGCACTACCAGAAGGTGGCAATGCTCACGCAGATCCAGGGAGCACTGTGGTTTAGGAGTGTAACTGAAATGCTTGTACACCAATGCGCAAAGTATGAGAAACAGCATGAACTGGAAGTGCTGGTCAGTTCCCAGAGCTGTGGTGTCACTGGTGAGACTTGGTGGGATGTGTCCTATGACTGGAGTGCTGGGATCAGGGCTGCAGCTGTTCAGCAGGGATGAGCAGGGCAGGCAGGGTGGAGGGGTTGCGCTGTCTGTAAGGGAGAGCTTTGGCTGTACAGCCCTTACAATTATGGGTAATGTGGTTGGGAGCCTGTGGTGAGGATGAGGGGGATGGAATGCAAAGGAGATTGTTGTATGTCCCTTCCAAATGGAACTATTCTGTACTAAATATTCTAGTATACTCTACAGCTCTGTGCATTCAGCCCATAGGAATAAACTAGAGGTGACGTGAAGTAAAACCCTCTAAAAGGCAGATAAGTTGGCTGTTGGGTCCTCATTGTAAATTGTTTCACCCTACAGTTCCGTTTCTGTTGGGCTGCTGTACCTGCAAGTATGCAGATAAACTGTGATGGAGAGAGTATTCCTTCTGTTGTGTGCTAGTGCTGGACAAACAAGTAAGACTTATTTCTAGGTGATCTTTTAGAATAGTATGTTGCTCTGGAGACAGTTCAAGGACTGAAGAGGGCAAGTTAGTTGCTACTGCATTGTAGATGAGTGGAAAGGCAGCAAAGGAAAGCTGGTGGTGAAGATACTTGTAGGACACATTCTTGTGATTCCAGCATAGCTGTTCTGTGGGCAAACAAAAGGAATTTTTTTTTTTTTCTCTCCTTAGCAATTAGGTGTAATTCTTTTCCACACTGTATGTGTTTCATATGTGTATTTTATGAATTCAGTCTCACCGTACATAAGCTCTACTAAAACTAGTGGGGTTTTAAATTTCAGACAAATGTAGTCAAATACTCTTCTGACTACGTAAGATGCTCCTAAAGAGATTGTCTAACCACTTTCAATTATATATATCACTTTCTTAGTGATGTTTCTTCATCCTTGCCTATACGGTACATACATACTTTTGCCTATGTTTATGTAGATATGTAAGAACAACAGTTATTTTGATTCCAATATCAGAAGATCTAAATGGAGATGATCTGGGTTCTCAAGACTCATAGAAATTTTAATAAAGATTTAACTTCCCAAAGGTGGACTCAGGCAACTTCTTAAGCACACTTTTTCCTGTCCAGTCCTGAGCTTTTTCCAAAAACTAAGATAAGGTGTAGGACCTGTAGTTAGTAGCCTGCTGTGGTCACACATGGAAGGCTGATTCCCTAGATCTCCCAATTGCCTGCCGCAAATTACCTCTGCGCCAGGAGGGAGTGGGAAAGTCTTCTGTCCCTAACTTCATGCCGTTTGCCTGCAGTTTAGGTTTGGGGGTCCTCCCCATAGTGAATATCTCTCCTTCCAGTGTTTCAGCCAGTTGTGCGAATCAGTGCACAGGGGGAGCACCACATACTGACATATTTTTTTTTAACATAAATGCATAAATATGGCTTAATACAAATATCTGTGGTACATTTGACCTTGGATGGGTGCCAGATGCCCATTCAGGTCCTCTCTCTGCCTCCTCAACAGGACAGGGAGAAGATAGGATGAGGTAGCTCATGGGTCATGATAAAGACAGGGAGATTATTTACCATTTACTCTCACAAAACTGGACTCTACGAGGAAGAGTAATTTATTGCCAATTCAAAGTAGAGTAGGATGGTAAGAAACAAAAATGAAACTGAAAACAACTTTCTTCCACTGATCTCTTCTTCCTAGGCTCAACTTTACTCCTTCATTCCTGACTCTTCTACCTCTTACCTCCCCAGGCAGTGCAGGGTGGGTAGGGGATGTGGATTACAATCAGTTCATAAACCTTCATGTCTGCTGCTCATTCCTCTTCATGTTGCTCCCCTGCCCCAGGGGATGTACCTCCCCATGGGAGGGACCCCATGTATACCATGGGGTCCTTCCCATGGTATACAGTTTTTCATGACCTGCCCCAACATAATTTCTTCTCACAGGTTGCAGCTCTGAACTGTTCCTGCCAGGAACTTGCTCCTGTTCAGCCTCTCCATGCTGCAGCTTCCTTCAGGGCACATCCACCTCCTGCAGCACAGGGTTCCCATCTGCTCCATCTCGGTCTTCTCCGTGGACCGCAGGGGCATGTACTGCAGTGCCTGGAGCACCACCTCTTCTCTTTCCCCACTGACTGTGGTGTCTCACGGTTTCCTTACTCTTCTGTCTCACAGCTGCACATAGCATTTTTTTTTTTACCTTTTATGAAGTATGTTTTCACAGAGCTGCCATCAGCTCTGCAGTTTCTCTTGGCAGTGTCCCGTAGTTGCTCTGTTTTGGAGCTAGCTGGAACTGGCTGTGTCTGGCATGGGTGAAGCCCTTGGCTTCTCACCGAGGCTCTCACTGCAGCTTCCCCACTGCTAAAGCCTTGCCACATAGACCCAATACACTAGGAAATGCCATGTTTCCTCTAAGGTATGTTAACTCCAGGCAGTTTGATGGTAAACACATTAGATTAAATTTCCAAGGGGAAAAATGGCCTTTACGTGTTATATAATTTGAAGTGCAGCTGCTCTGTATGTTTCTTCATATAGCCCACACTTAAATCAGTTTCAGTCACACAGAAGTCCAAAGTGGAAGTACTTCTGTTTCTCTAATGAGTTCCTAAGTCCTACATCTGTTTGTAATGCTTTCCAGGAAAAAAAACATGAAAACCTAGGGTTTACCCTCTACTGTTGCATAAGGTCTGCAAATACTCCATTGGTCAGAACAGTCTGAACACACTGCCTGCCACATATATTAAATAAATAAATACCTTTCGTAAGAAACTAGTTCAGCTTCACTCCTTCCTAATACGCCCTCTTAGGCTGTATGGTTTAGAAAGACATACACGCAAACTTTCTTCATATTGTGGTAGTGTTCACTTCCCCTCAAATATTTCCTTCCCTCCAACGATAGTCTTTTCTCTCCCCCCAGTTTTCAGTCATGCTTGAAAAAAAAATAAAAATTCACTTTTCTCCCTCACCTGCTTGAATTCAAATGTAGGTGATAATCAATATGGATGAAATATCAGGAAAGCCACTGCTAGCCTCAGAGCAATTATTTGTCCATTTTTGCCAGTCCAATTGGTTGCTGTCCATATTCCTTATTCCTCAGCCTTTGAAGAGACTGTGTTCTAGCTGCATTCTCACAGATAGTCCTACAGAAGTATGAGGAGCAATGCACTTGAGTAAAATGATTAGAATTTTGCATTTGGCTTCTGGTAGTCATTCACTTCTTAAATAACATGTATTTGGCCTAACATCACATTTGTTTTGCATACCTGTCTGCTGTTCAGCATGGGAGAAAATCAGTGTGGGAAAGAGATTCCTAATGTCTGCTAGACACACAGTTACAGATTTTTAGTTCTGAGCCTTAAATATCCCCTAGAATATATGGTACATGAGTACCTGATCACTTGCCTTTGTGGTTTAGCTGGATTTTCTGTAATCTTGTTTGCAGAAGTGAAGGTTGGGCCGGAATGTGAGGGATACTTTGTGAATGCCTGGGACTATTTAGCATGTGAATTGCGTAGGTTGCAAAGTTTCCAGCTTCGGCTCCTTGAGAGATTCCAGTTCTAGCTAATTTAGCATTTATATGTATATTTATAAGGCACATACATGTTGACCGAATATAAAATAATCTTACAGATTAAATGGTATGGTCATTACAGAATATCTGTTGCTAACGAGGCAAGAGCTAACACCAGCGTTGGGGTTGTTAGTGTGATTGTGAGTGGAGATGCTCTTTAGTCTTTTTCAGAGTTCTCTGATACGTTAGAAAAAATATATTCGTTTTATATATCCATTCAAAAGCATTTCCTGCATTTGAAACCAAACTCTAAAAAACAACTCATTATTTTGAGATGTTCTATTTCTGAGGTGCCTTAAAGAGAGATGCCTTTTCTGAATATTCTATGCTTGTTCAGTAACAAGTTGATGAACATGCAGACAGGAGTTTTGCATCTGAAATCTTTGCCTAACTTCTTTTTAATCTATGATACACAGCAGCCCACTGGGAATATACTTCTTATTTCCAAACAATAGATCAACTTAGCTTCTTTTCTTTTTGATGTTGCCTGTCCCTAGGTGTGCCTTCCTTTCAGAGAAGAGGTTCTGGATGATAAAGCACATACCTGAATCAAAACACAAAACATTGTAAGAACTAGGAGTAGAGTCCAAAGTGTCTTCAATTAATGCAGGAGGAACAGTATAAGCCTTCATCTGGCAACTTGCATAGTTCCTTAAATGAATTTAGGAACAGAGAGCAGTCTTCACAAAGACAAGATCCTTCAAATTGGTCTTAAAGCCAATGACAGAATGAAGACATGGCTGTAATGCAGCCAAATTCAGTTCAAAATTTTCAAAAGCAGTTTGTTGAGGAGGGGTCTATTTACATGCAGGTTTTAGGGTGGCTCTTTTTTCACCACTTTCAGTAAGCAAGCTGTAGAAGTCTTCATTTAGGTATCACTTCTCATAGGAATGAGTGAGGAGGGGTTGCCCAGATTGAAGGTATGATCAAATGGGAATTGATATAACAAAAGGCAATTTTTATATTTTTGTTTTGTATTTTTATGACATCAGAAATCAAAACACTTAGTGATGAGCCTTCCTGTAGTGGTATTCAGGAGATGTGGCAGAGTTAGTGTTTGTGAAAGAATCTTTACTGATTTGATTTTTTTTTTTTTTTTTTTTTGTTGCTGCCATAGGCATCCAAGTTATGTTGAGACACAGCTTTCTGGAAGATGAGATACTTACCTATAAAGAGCACTAGCAGATATGCTTTCAGAATATAGGGAAAGTAGATTGAGAAGGCAAATGGAAATAGTAGCTTGATGGAGTATGTGCCAAAGGATTCAAAATAAGGCAGTGATACACAAATTGCAAATGCTGTAAAATAACATGGTAAATATTTAGTCAGAAGGAGATGGAAGATCATCAGAAAGTTTCATGTAAAAGTTAGTTACCTTTAAGGCATAGCTAGCTATATTACATGCCAAAGTTACCATGCCATTTGTATGCATACACTTGTTTTAAGTTCAGTTTTGTAGGTCTGAGGTTCTGACTGCTCTTAATACTAAAATCATCAAGTATTTCGTATTCCATAACAATTCTGTCAGTCCTGTGGTTGCACAGAGTATGATCTTTCAGTATGATCTCAGTGGGCATGTTTCCTGTTGTAAGCATAAGCTGCTTTAAGTAGTTCAGCAGTCATAAATCAGCATCTTCTCAGTCCCGTATATATAAAGTATGGCCTGTGCCAGTAAGGTCAAACTCAGTGAGGGAAAAGGCAGCTTTGCGACTTGCTGGCTAACACGGTCAGTGTGGAATAGGGGAATCCATGTTTCTTTTCTGGGGGTACCAGAGAAACTAATGTTCTCCCATTTTGTTGAAAGAAAAAGCAAAACAAAACAAAGACATACAAGCCCCTGTTAAAGAAGTACAGAAAAGAGGAAGATAGGTGACATACAGGTTGAGAGTATATAAACATTTATCCCTACTTTGGCAATAAAAAATAAAAAAGTATCTTAAGCACAAATAACAATTGAACTGATCATATTTTATTGAAGAAAATTCAGGAAGCAAACTGTTAGTACCTTTCCGATCTCCTTACCTTTAGCCAGAACTGAAAGAGGATAGAGCAGGATGCACAGTGAGAAGTTGAGCCATGTCAGTGGTAGGTAGTATATTCCCATCCTTGCTAGCATGTTGTAAGTGTACCTGATGCAAGAGGAACAGCAGATGAGTTTAGAGGGAATGATTGTGTCTTTAAAATAAAGATACAGTATTGAACAATCCAGGGGAATTGCAGAATCTGAGCTGCTGATCTGAGAGCATTTCAGAGCAATACTGCAACAATTCTGTTCCGGCTCTAACTGATGGCTGGAAGTAGATGGGTCATTGTTTCAGAAGGGTTTGTCTGTGGTGCTAGCAGGTAGACAGAAAAACAGCCTGCTAGCTGGAAGGTTCTGTCAGAAACCAGTGTCATTTTATATTGGTCCATCAGAAAAGTGGATTTCAGATAGGAATATTACAACTGAGAGGGGCACGCAGAATACAACTGTTGCTTGGGACTGAGAATATGCTGATTTATGACTGCTGAACTACGCAAAGCACGGCTGAAGAAGGCTAAACAGTAAATGTAATCGCAGGTACTTAATGTTCTGTGGTATGGCTGCCCCTCCCTTGGACCTCAGAACGGTTAGTAGGTGCAAAAGAAAGCAACTGTACTTCAGTGTATTGCAGTGTTTTACTCTGCTGTTACTGTTGTTCACTGGGAAGCCAGAATGCCTAGGACTTCACTCTACAAGGTGAGCTGATGCTAGCTTGTTTGATCTAAAACTGGTGCAGCAGCTTTCCAAACACTGGAGCAGTGGAGGTCTGATCACATTTTTGGTCAGCTAAAAGGCTTTTGGCCTGTGGTCTTGCTAGAGAGGTGGAAATAATTTTTAAGCCACTGTTAGCCAGGAGTGTTTCTAGCAGATGGAACCAGCATTAAACAAAACACTCTGTATTCCCTTTTTACTAATTCATTTGTATAATTCTGCATCATACCTGGACTGAGAGGAGTTTGATGGGCTATAAATGTACCATCTACTCTCAAGTTTGCCCTCTGCAACCTCAGGAGTGCCTCAGTTTTTTATTACTGCTTTTGAGGCATAATCTCAACCCAGGGCAAAAGGGATACAGCTACTTCCTCTCAATACACATTCTTCAGCTGCTTTTGGTATAAGCAGGAAAGATCAGATAGAGAAAACCTTGCAGAATTTGCTCTCACTATATCATTAGCCATAATGCACAGGGTATTATGTGGAGGAACTTGTAATACTTCAAAACTAATTGGCTAACAGTTGGGATGAATTCCTGTATGTTTTAAGACATGACCACCCCTTATTGATGCTAGGACATGGCACAGATATTGTAAAATAAATCAGGTAAGAATTCAAAATTTGTGTGAGTTGTACCATGTATTTGCAGTGGGCATTTGCCACTGCAGATCACGGTATCTTGCTTATTAAATGGCTGGTGTTATTGCCATGATTCCGGACTGTGTACTTCAACAAAGATAGAAAATAGTGGTGCATTGGATGCAATAGGAGTATTCTGAGAGGACTTTACAGCCAGTCTTGTTTATGCTTTTGGACTCTCTCCAGCTGCACAGAAAGCTTTCAGTTGAGTTCTGCTCTTTCAGCTTTACAAACTCAAAAAAGAAATAGGATGGAGCAATAATCCAAATAATTAATACAAGTAGTGGTTTCTTAACACATGTAGTACCTATACTTTGAAGTTGATGTAAAGCCTTTCTTATTAATCCTGACATTTTCCTTTTTCAGATCTCATATACTTCCTAAGCTGCCTGAATCCATAGTCCCCAGTCTCTCCCCAAAGCAATGTATGTAAAATAGCAGAAACTACTATTTGAGCAGAAAGAAAGAAGATAAAGAAAAAAAGAAATTACAGAAGTTACCATGAGGGCTGTGTCTTGTTAAAATGTTTCTTAATTCCGTATGTCTTCCCTGCTGTGAGTTTACAAAATGAGGGCAGTAGAGCTTAAGTTACACTTGAGAAATGTTACTGACTTCAGATATTGATGCAAGAGTCAGTAATGCAGAATTTTCACCATACAAAATTTTTGAGATAAAAGTCCTGAATTGTATTCGTGTTTGTGTCCCTGCGGTGTGATATGTGCCTTACTACACCAAAATACTCGGCCTCTGCAGCAGGAGCTCTCGACTTTTTGTACAGCACAGTGCAAATAAGCCAGAATAGTCTCTTGTCTTGGTAAGAAGTTCTGCTGCTGCTGCCTGAGCTAGCAATCTTGGATCAAAGTGAGGTGTTAAAAAAGCAAATAAGTAATAAATGTGTTAAGTTTGTAAATTATTTTGGAAATTGCTGTTCCCTGGGTGGGAGTTGTGACTTCCTTCTGAATTTCTGTTAAAAAGATCAAAGCCTTTGAGCTACACATATTAATGCAATGGAAGCCTGTAAGTAAGACTTACTTCTGTAAGTTGCTCTGCCTCTCAGGTATGTGGATTTTTGTAAATATCAGTAAATAGCCTTTATTTAAAATAGATAATATGCCTTTCTCCCAGTTTTGAAATAATGAACTGAGCCTGCAGCACAGTGGAGGTGAGGTTCTGCTCACAAGAATGACCCATTTTTATCTCATGGCTTTGCCATTTACTTCTTACCTGACCACATCTAATGCATTCCAAAGAAAAAATAAAACGCACACGATGTACTTCCCTTGAACTTCGTCCTGACTGTTGATCACAACAAATAAAACAATTATTCTCTCTGTGATCTGAAAAGAAAAAAAGAATTGTGAATTCAGGTGGCACCTTTTGTAGCTCTCATCGAATAGCAGGGCACGGGTTGAATCCAGTTTTCTTTCCACAAATGCGTCAGGGATGACTTTGCTTCTTGGCCTGCTTTTGTTCCAGACCCTGTTGGCCTGCAGCTAAGGCAACTGGAAACTGTTGGCTGCAGTATCATAGGTCTGCTATGGTAAGGGTGGAGGTTTGCTTGCCAATAGGGATGACTTGGGTTTGTAGCCCAGAAAACCTGTGGATGAGCTGGCTAAGGTTATGGGAGCAAGGACTGCAGCCTACAAGCAAAGAAACTTGCCCCCACATGGAAGTAAGCTTCCTTGTAGGCTGCATGGGAGGGTGTGGGATACAGAGGGCCCTTGGGTGCATAGAATGCCAGACAATGCTAATCTCACAGTCCCATCTCTGCTTGCCACAGCTTCAAGATCTGCAACCCAGTGTGTCTCTCTCATGTAAGATTTGCAGAAAGGAGAAGGAATTCCTTATTTTTCTTTTCTTCATGTTCCTGGCTAGGAGAAGTGGGTTTAAGTTTATAGTTTATGTGAATTATTGCCATAATATTAGTCATAATACTTTTCTAGTGGTTGAACTTAGCCTGACCCACAAGCTATGCCTCTACAAATCAGAAGATGTAAGAGTGGATTAAACACACAGTATCTTCATCTTAAAACCAAAAATACTTTGGCAATATTAGAGCTCAAGAAATTAAAAACAAGTTTGTCCTTCCTGGACAAGTTTTCTAAGCCCTGCCCTGTAAAATAAATACATCTGTAGTGTTCAGTACTGCCAAGAGTTGTTTGTGAAACTCTCCCAGAAGAGTACCAGTTCACTCTAATTTACACTCTATTTGAAAGTGCTGGAAAAGAAAACATGCATCTCTTCAGTTGGTATAGCTTCATTGTTTTGGTTTGGATTTTGTGCACTGGTATCTCTTCCATAACGTACCTTAGGTTTAATGATTTTATGGGTTAAGATGTCAAGTCAGTGAAAGGTTGTGAAATGAAAACAGATTGCCAAGGTGGATTTTATCAGCTCAGCCATTCTCCTTCACTGGTTTCCCCCTTTCCCTTAGTCCTACCTTAAACAGTTTTGCTACGTAATTTTTACCAGTTCCTGCGTGGAATACTGTGGCTAGAGATTTCTTTTATTACTTTTTTTTTTCAGGCCACATCTGTCAGATAAAGCAATCATCACTTCACTATTCAGCAAAATTACGTGAGAGCAATTTTCCATCCCTGGGGATCTAGTTCCTCATCTTGAAAGGCACTGAAAGGCCACAACAGATAAAAATGGTTTTGCTGCCTGTCACCCTGCCCTGACTGTCCTCTTGTGTTGCTGATCCCATTGGTCCCTAACTGAGGAACTGATTTCTAAGAAGGTCAGATGTTGAGAGGCTTCTGTGTAGACAGGCCAGGAAATGGAGAGTGAGAGGTACCAAGTCCTGTATTTGTACGCTGATGCCAAGGAACTTGGGACGAAACTGGGAGAACTGTAAGTGTTGATGCAGGATCTGAAACCAACTTAGAAGTATGGTGGGACAATCATCACAAGAGGGAAATCAAAACAAAGGGGAAAACAGTATGAGCATTGAGTGGGATTGTGTGGAGAGAATGTAGAAAATAGAACCTGAATTAAAATCATTTTGGTGAAGGGTGTTAAAGGAGTGCAGCATTGGTGGTCGTGGGCATTTTGTTACCAACCCTGAAATCAGGCTGGGATGTGGAGAGAGAGTTCTGCAATATAGTTATTAAGAGATATTTCAGGGAGTTGTCTCACTTAGAGACCAAAGCTTCACCATGATAATGAAAAGGTGTTTTCAGATATGAGAGCTAGCAGGCAGATTTTCCAAGCAGCCACTTGCTCTTCAAGAGGTGGCTGGGTGGAAAAGTGCTAGAAAGCAGCATGGGCCATGTGATCAAGAGCTGATCCCATTTCAGTGAAATAAAAGGATAAGCAGTAGATCAGTAGCTTCTGTCCCACATTTCAAAAGGGTGAGCCACAGAGTGGCTATGGAGACCCATAATTAAGCCTCATGGAGTGGCTGTGGATTTCTTTCTCTTCCCAGGGCATAAGCAGATGCACAAGGGGCAGTGAGTATCACCTAGCTGGGGTTCAGCAGATTTCCGCCATCAAAGGTTCATGTTTGAGTGGAGCACTCAGCCCCACTAGTTGCAGATGATGGAAGTCTGATTACTGATTGTGTAAAGTAGGTTAAGCACCTGCAAGAGTAGGGAACTGGACCCGAAAACTGGCTGTGGTCTTGCCTGGAGCACACCTGCAGGGCAGGACACATACTGGCTCCTCAGGGCAATTGTAATGTCCTCAGGAGGACAGACAGTAGCATCCTACCTCTTCTGTTGCCTGCTTGCTTGCATGCCTTTATTCCCCTTCGAGACATTGTGCTCATAGCACTCACATCTTCAGGTAACCCACACAAACCCAAGGTAGATGCAGGGGTTAGACATAGGCTGGGGACTTTTTCAGCAAGTGACAAGGCAGGGTGCTACTTGAGGGAATTCCAGTAAATGGCTGTTGATATTGCACACATATACACATGTATCTATATACATATATGGAGTCATGTACACATATCAATATACACACATATATATGTGTATGAATATGTATACATGTGTGTATACACACATACATAGATATAAGAAAAGCGTATATATGAAAAAAAAGCATGAAATCAGTCCCAGCTCATTTCTTCTATGGATCATCTGTTCTTGCATGAATGAAAATACAATATTCTCTGCTGATACTCTCTTGCTTAAAAAAAAAAAAAAAAAAGAAACCCACACAAAACTAGAAGTCCTGTGTTTTTATGTTCATAAAAAGGAAGTATGTGCTGACACCTCACAAAGTGTAAATACAGTGGTTTCATTTCTCATTCCTTCTTGTTCTTTTGTTAAAGGCAAACTGGAATTTCCTTCCTCTCCCAGCACTGGTTTCTCAAAGGATACAGACAGTTCTCTAGAGTGACATAAATTTTTGCAAGGCAGCCTGGGCATTTCAAGCAAGTGAAACAGAGCAAATCAGCTTAACTGAAGTTAGGGCAGAAGCAGGCAGCACATGCACTTTGGGTTTTTAATAACCATGACAGTGCAGTGTCGAACCTGGTGCCTGAAACCACTACACATCTCTTTGATTTAGTGAATGTTTAAGAAAAGTGCTGACATGTGACACGTTCTCCTGTCCTCCTCTCCTTCAAGCTGGAAATGCCCGGAGGGAAATCCCTTTGCACTAGCTCTGTGACCCTCCCCTGCTTCCCCTTCCTCCAGAGCACCATCACACAGGATTCATCTTTCTTTCTTGGTGTGACTTTTCCTTGGCCTGCCTAACCCTCCTGACCTGAGGCTTTGTCCTTCAATGAGGCCATGCTGAATGGGTTTTTCTAGAGAACGCCTCTGGAGTTTACTTTTCCACTGTCTGTAATATGTATCTCACAGTGTTTCTTGTAAATGCTACTAAATCATGACGAATAGGTTATTAGGCAGAAATCCTTCATTCAGAATACTTAAGTCTTGTCTTTGCTGTAATGCCCACAAAACAGCTGGCCACCACAGCAGTGCTTTCACAGCTTGTTTTGTTCAAGGTGGCCTTATTTCTATCCATGTGCTTCCTTGACGCAGCCAGAGCCAACAGTTCTCTCACCCTAGAGATCCTGAGATGAACTTCATTGTGGATATGCATGTGTGTGCATGGCCTGAAGGATGCATCTAGGGATATGTTTTAAGCTTAGAGTCAGAACAGGTGCTGGGAACACAGAAGAGGGTAGCCACTATCAAATTCTTACGGCTTTACCAGCACCCTGACTACATGCAATAGCCCATAGGCTCCAATGAAATAAGCATCTCTAACTGTCTTTCCCCAGTTCATTGTGGAACACGTACCTCCTTTTTTCCTAAGAGGCAGCGAGGAAAGTGTGGCAAGGCACATGGGAGTACTGCTGGCACACAGCTGCTTAACCTGTACTCCCACAGCAAAAGCAGGGCAACACAAGTGGAAACAGAGTCTACACCAAAGAGCTTGTACCTAGCTTGGGCAGCACAAGACTACTGCTAACATGAATGTAAGAGAGTTGTGTTTGCTGTGAGGGAACACTTGGGAAAAGAACCATGTAAGGATCCAAATCTATCGTTGTGAGACAAATGTTTGGAGTCACTGTGCCATATTGCTCCCTGACCCGCCTTCTTCATGCTACCCTGGAGAGCACTGCAGTAACTGCACTGGCCAAAAAAGGTCACAGTTTTCTTGCTCAGAAACATCCATTTCAGATCTAGTGTCTTTTGTGGCAACACAGAGCGGGTTTTGTGTAGGCTTCCCTGACCTTTTTTGTTGGGCTGGGTAGGAAAGGAATGGACTGTGCAAGAGTTGAGGAATGTGTAACCTCTGCCAGGACAAGCCTTGCTTTAGTGACTATCTGTTGGCGTTAGGAAGCTGCTCTTCTCTGCAAGAGATGATGTGAGATGTGTTACAAGGCACATTCAGTAGGATACCCCTCCCACACACACACACACTCCCCCCCGTCCCCCCCGTCCCCACCAATTAGTGTAAAAGCATGTAGATTTAGGCAGGGAAAAATAGTTGATTGCATTTTGACAAATTTGCTACCATACTTAGTGAGCAGCATAAAGATCAGAGATCTGTATTAGTCAGTTTCTAATGGAGATTTAAAAAGAGGAACATCTTCACCCATCCAATATGTCATTTGACAAAAATGGGCTATCCAGAAAACTAAAACCATAACTAACTACTCTTAGTCTTTCTACCTTCTGACTGCTGAGAGCAATACCAGTTTCACCATTATTCAAATACTAAGGAGTGGAAAGGTTTGAATGTAAACTCAAGTTGACATTTTTACTTTTTCCAATGCATTAAAAATTACCAAAACCTGAGATAAAGTCCCAACAGAAAACAAAATGTGATAAGGTAGATGTCCGAGAATCATCTTGTTTTCTGAGTTTTTGGCTGCTTTTCTGCCTACAGCTGAACTTAAAACCCTTAACAGCATCGGAACCTCTGGATGTTACCACAATTTGCCCATATCTGGGTTTGAGAGGGTAGAGACCCTTACAGCAAGAATACAACAGTTCTCCTCTTTCCCTTCCTAACATTAGTTCTTATTCAGTCCTTTAATTTCTCTATCAATCCTTTCGCACTTCATGTCTGCCAGCAAACCCTGTTTCAGGAAGCTTGCTGTGCTGGTCATTTTCTCAAGTGCCATCCCTTTGCTACGCTACAAAATCTTGTATTGGGCTTGTCTTCAAAATAAATACACACTTGTCAGAGAGTAAATGGCATGGAAAAGAATTAGCTACCGAAACTTCGGCTCTGAAATGTTGTCTTCTGGCTGTAAACAGGCTGCCTGGTGAGGTAGTATCCTCAGCCACCTATGGCAGAAATGGGGTCTGCCCCTTTTCTGCAGGTGGCCTCTCCTCAGGTCCCTGCTGTTGTGGGCTGGGCGTGGGGCACTCACTGCTCAGTTTCATTTGAAAGCAGCTCTTTCCCAACTCACTTCTGAGGGCTCATTTCCTGCAGTTAAGAAACCACCAGCAGACCAAGGTCCTTAAGGAAGGGTGCACGTGGAGCCCTCAGGGTAGTAAGGGCATGTCCCCAGGGGCCACCATGCCATGTCTCAAGTGTGTAGGTTGCGGAAGGAGGGTCTTGAGAAACCAACATACCTGCAAAGCCCTGGGGAAGAGACGGCTTTTATCAATGCCAATGAGGATGTGTAGGATCTCCAATACAGATAACAACTGGCAAAGGCGCATCACAAGACCTATGGAGTAAAAGGTGTCTGCCAGTGAATCTACAAAGTGAAGAGGAAAATTAGAGGTTGGTTATATAGTAAAAGTCTGAACCAGCTAGAGTCTGCTTCTGCCCTATCACCACTGGAGATGACAAGAAATAAAGCTCACACAGTACTAAACATTTGGGTAACAGACACAAAGCTTCATGGAGGGGAGGAGGCAGCCCACTCTCTGTGTATGACTGATACAGAGGCAGGAAGCTGAGAAAAGAAGAGGACCCCCTACACTTGATGCATTGGCAGACACTGTGCAGAATGTGTTGGTTTAGGGATATCAGTTTAGGATATTTCTAAATATGAGGAAGCATTGAGGAAATGTATGAGGAATGTTTAAACAATGAGGAGATGTTGAATTCCTGCCTATATCTGTGCATCTTCCAAAAAGAGGCAGACCACAAAGTAGGTATTTTATCTGCCTACTGTCCATGATTATAAATCATCTTAAATTTGTAGTCTCTAGGTTTCTGGTTTTGTGCCTTAACCCCATGCAACAGAAAGAGAATTGGAGATAGTGATATGCAATATCTACAAAGATATTCCCTCCTAGTGGCTTCAGTAAGATTAATATTCACCCTAATGACTGAACCTACTCACATCTAGGGCTAAGTCAAATGTTACTAGGATGCTGCTGAATATTAAAGCTCATTAGGAAAACAAGAACTTCATTCCAAATGTCATACAAGCAGAATGTAGGTACGAGAAATTTCTTCATCCTTTTTATGGAAGAAACAATGTGTTTCTAATTGAAATTTTAGCCCCAGTATTGGGCATACACCTGTCCAGAATCCTAAGTTTATGTCTAATTTGGTGTCACTGTCTGTTACTGCCTTCTGAAATGTTTTAAGGAAAACAAAGAAGGAATCCTACCTTTTCCAAATGACATGAACCTGATGATCATATTTGTAAATATCCAGGAATGTCCACAGAATTGCATCAGGTCATACATGAAGAGGTAGGTGTTCATGGTAAAGCTGTGGAGGTGAAAATGGTACAGCAAACTGTATGACTTACTACAGTGTTCAAACTTTCTGACCTGTAGAAATGCACCCTCTTTGGACATGCGAGTAAATCAAAGGAAAACAGCTGAAATATAAACAGATCAGTGAAAACTGACTGTGCCTGGCCGTGGCCACAAAACAGTATTCTCCCAAGTGGATCAAAGGCTGCCTTTGTTGTTATACCTAGGAGATGCCCAGAAAAATTTTCTTGAGTTTCCTCCAGTGATCAGGGTGATCTGTGCCTCCAGAGGAAAAAGTTGAGTGCACAAAGAAACCTCCATTGGGTGCTGGATTCAAGCCTGAGCCCCTTGGCTTGGCTCTGTCTTCATAGTGTGACCAGATACAAAGGACTGCTTGTGGTTGCACCTACAACAACCCTGCTGAGGGCCTTGGACTCCCACAGGCACCAGCTCTGGGATTTCTCCATCTGGGTGATGTAAATCTTACCGCTTACAGAAGACATGCCTCTAGCATGCACTCAAGAGAGCTTAAAGTACAATGCAAATAATTTGCAGCGTCTCCAGCAGACAGCATTTGTAAGTATTTATAAAAATGTAAGTGAAGAAATTGAAAAGAAAGCCACATTTCAGTCTGCTTTTATTTGATGCATTCTGGAGGATATCTGTCTCTTTCCCCTTTTTAACCAAATGGCTCTACAGGTTTTCCACATAAACATGAAATTAGGGTCTTTGTTTTTCTGCACAGCTTCTGTTTTAAGTTGCATTTAATAAAGTGAATCTTATCCTGTTTGAGAAGACTAATCTTTGCAGCTCTTCTAACCTAATTTTCATAGGTTATCTGACCTTTGGCAAAACTTCATAGGCTCCTGAGATGCTTAATTTCCATTTTTCATAAATGTCCTGTCTTCTGATTCATTCCAGAGAGAGAGGCTTGCCTGTCCTCCAGCTATGAAAAGAACTGCCTACATTTTTGGGAAGTGAATTTGTGAATTTTGTACTAGAATTTATCTCCAGTGTTTAAGCAATTAACTTCCTGACCCAATAAGTAACAAAAGCTCTTTAAATTGCCCCTTGATCCAGTGTATTCATAGGGTATGTGCTATCAAATCTCTGCCATCAAATTTTGTCTCATTTGTATCTGTGCACTAACAAACACAGTGTTTAGAAGCATCTAAATATGATAAATGCATACACTTCATTCCCACTATTGGACCACAACCATAAATAACAATACACACCTCTATAAACTGATGTAAATTAAACTGGTCTTCTAAATTTTTAATCAAAGTTTATCCTAGGGAGGTCATAGAAAATGCCTTTCTTCCTCTCTTCCTGTCTTGCAGGATGGCCACTATTCAGACAAATATTTCCATAAGCACAGAAAGATTTGTTCGCATAATTTACCTCCCAAGAGGAAGCAGTAGCCTTTGGTATTATGAAAATAAGGCATATGAGGACCCAGACGAATGTATTCCATAAATACTCCTTTTGGGAAAAGTGTGATAGAACTGAACTGCACTAAATTCCAGTGAGCTCTATAAATATGGAATCCAGATCCCGTCTGCTTTATTACTGAATGACACTTTGTTCTCTCTTATGGTAAGAAAAACACGGGACACTGTACATTACAAAAAGACAAAAAAATTAAGAACATACATTGTTCTGATTTAAGAAACAGCCTTATTGCTGGATGGATAGGAATTACTGTAATGGGTATGAAAGTTACAGGAGCAGTTATAAAAATCTTGAGGCTTTCCAGTCACCACCTTCACCATTCTCTTTGGACTGATACTGCCATGTGGGCTTTGCGCAGGATGCAAGCTGAGCATATAGTTTCTCTTTTCTTCTGAACTTTAGTTTGCTACATTGGTCCCTCACCCTCAGAACTTGTCTTTCAGTGGTTTGGGCTTATTTTCTTAACTCTTCCTGCACTGGCTAGCCGGAAAATTCTTGTCTTTACAATTCTTAAACTGGTTAATCTCAGCTAAACAGGGCGTAAGCAAGAAGACATTTGTAAACGCAGCTTCACCTTAATGATTTGGCAAAATATGGGAGCTGTTGCATGTTAGAAATCATCTTCTTTAAAATGTACTGGCGGCTACTGAAATGTATGCACTCTGTTGGCATTTATGAAGGGCCCCAAATTCCCAGTGAAGCATAGAGATGTGCTGGCAGATGGCATGCTGGTGTCACTTGGAAGACTGATCCCAGCCCCAGAGCTGCCAGCCTGATGTATCGACACAGGCCGAAAAATCACATAAATGTGACTGTTACGTTTTATTCCTTCTAGCATGAAGGTCCTCAGGTAGTTGCTATCACCTGAGGTAAGCACAAGGGTGGGTGCCTGCAGTGTCTGAAGGGGGTCAGGACCACAAGCTAATGTGATAGGACAGCAGTGGCACCCAGCTCAGTGCAGCCCTTGCCCTGGCTAGCTGTCTCCTGCAAGGTGCCAGGGTGAAGGCCACACTCGGGTCCCTCTCACAGGGTGTCCCAGCCAGGCCTGCATAAACCAAGCACTTCTCTGCCTTCAGAGCCGTTGCTGCCTCTCCATGCGCCCACAGTGGCTGGCCACACATGAGGAAGAAACGCTCGCACTGAAACCAGAGAGCAGTGCTCCTTTCTGGTTTTCCTCCTTCAGGAAAGGTCTGCTAGAAAAGCCCTTCCACTGACACAGTTTCCTTTTCAGTCACACTGGTCTGAACTTCGACCCCTTCCCACTCCGATGACAACTGCAAGCAGTAGAGCTCGGGAGGCAGAACACTACAGAGCAGCAGCACAAAACGTACATTTCTCACACAGGCACATCCCGCCCCACTTCTCTGTCCCCTTCCTTTTTGCATTGAGCAGGGTGGGTTGCATGCTCTGCAGAGGCATTACCTGCTGCGGGGGTCGCACTGCTGCTGCTGCTCCTGGTCTTTCTCCTTTTTCCTCTCTACAGCTGCAGCAGCTGTTTGTTAGATCACCCCTCCTCTTTCCTCTTCCCCCACCCCACGACGTCACCATATGCAGCACTAAGCAGAAAAAACACTGCACTTCCTGAGAAAGGAGTTTCTGACCCCAAATATCTCCACCCCATTTGTCCTGCTGCTCAACCAGCCTAGCCTGAGCTAACCTAACCTAAACTGGTTTCTTGCTGTTACACCAGTAAGCTGGTCTGTAAATCCCACCAACTTTGTCTCTGAACCCAGAGCAGTTTGAAGGATTACTGGAGAGAAGAAATGCAAAATTAATTTCTCTTTTTTCTCTTCTGTTTAAATCTTCAGCACTACAACAACGCTAACAACACAATCAAATGATAAGGAAGGCTGGGAGCATAGCATTGAAGGAGTACTCTAAACTACTTCAGATAGAGAATTTTCCACTTCTTCTCTAGAAATGTCTATTTATTCATGCCTCTGTGAAACATGGGCACTACTGGCAAAGAAAATGTATCATAGTTTACATCTGTCCTTACGTGTCTGAGATATCTCAGCATAAATCAGATGAAGAATATCATGTTTACAAACTCCCTTCTACCACTAAGTTAGTTTTCATGCTGTCACTCATGCTGAAAGCACATCGCATCCTACAGTGACATCTGAAATCTGATGTTAAGACTGAAGAAAGTGATAATGAGCATAGGCTGTTATGTGAGTACAAAAAGTTGGGGGGGAGGGGAGGAGGAAATGCCTTACTGGGTCTCATCCCTACTGTGAGTGGTGTTGACTCTTGGCAAGACCATCTCCAAACCTAGTGGTATCCTGGAAAGGTGAGAAATGCCTCCCTTACAGGTGGACGGTCGTCTGGCAAACACGCTGGGGGATCCTGTGTTTTTCCTGGTTATACCTCCCATCTGGGACCTTCACAGAAAGGTCATGCATTTATGCCTGGCTTTCCAGCTGGTGCAGCATCTCACTTTTACTGCTCAAGAAACATCATCATTATCTAGGCTAAAGACTATTTCCTTCTCAGGAGGAAATAATAAATCAGTGTTAAATAAAGGGTTAAGCAATTAAACAAATAGCTATTGAAAGGCTCAGCCCATAGCTCTTGCAAAACAGCTCCCACACTGCGTGCGTCTGGGAGGACAACTGGTGTGACTAGTGCTGGCAGGAGCTGAGCTCACAACTGTAACAAGATCCAGCAACAGGAAGAACAGCTCTTTACAAACATCAGGCAAATATATAAAAGCAACAAAAGCTGAGCTAGCTCTGTGAGGTGCAAAATCCCTCTTTGTGGGCAGCTGCCAAGTTACAGCTCCCATGGATGATAGGAACACCTGCAAGAAGCTGGTGAGCTGGGTACCAGTTCTGACCAGTGCTGCTGACCCCCTTATGGCACAGCCTGCCAGGAGGTGGGGGCAGCTGGGGCTGCCTTGGCTGCCTGCAGCCCACTGGGCAATGGAGACCCTGCACCAGACAGTGCCACCCTGACCCAGGCATGGCTTCAGAGCAGAGCAACTTGTGCTGAAGGGGTGGTGCCCACCATGGGAGCATTTTGAAGGATTTTCTTTGCCAGAAGCTTGGCCCTGTGGACTGGATGCCCATTGCTTGCTGAAAAAAATACGTTATGATGGCATGTGAAAGGAGTGATGTTGTCCTTCGAAAGGAATGATAGTGGTGCGCTCCAAGCCTGCCTGGTGATGAAGAACAAGACACTGCAAGGGACAATAACTAGAAAATCTGTTCCAAAGGTGCACTTCTGACCTGAACTATAACACTATTATAAATATGCCCATTTCAGTGGCAATGCACTGCAGCTGTGGAGCCAAAGTACGGGGGTCATAAAACCACTATTACATGGATATCGAAATTCTTTCTTGGGAGACAAAGAATTCAACTCAGGCAGTGGGCTGTAATGGAACTGTCCAATCAGACCTGTTTTTTACAAACAGAATCCTTCTCTGAAATATAAGCTTTTTTTCTATGTACAGTTTGCAGTTGAAAACACATGTAAGGTCCCTTTAGCTCTGTGATTTGCAGTGGTGGTTTTGTAGTGCGATGGCCTGAGGGTATGAGAAAGAAAAATCAGTAACAAGAGGTAAAAGCTTTTCTTATTAGAGTAGATAGAAGTGGGAACACTTCCAGGCACACAGGATTTGGAGAAAGGCTTTTATGCTTAAAACATTTAACAGTGTAAGCTGCAAAGACATTCAGATGAAAGCAAATATTAAATGACAATAGTGGGATACATGTTAGCTGGATATGGGAAGACTAGAGTAAGCCCTGGAGGAAAAAATCTAGCCTTTCTTTTTGAAAAATAAACCTTGCTCTTTTTTACTCCGGCAACTCCTTTTGCTGACAAACTTCCATCTAGAAACTACTTCACCAGCACCAAATAATTACTTGTCTGTAACTGCTAACATCTCTTTAAAAAAACAACCAAGCTTCAGGACTGTTCAGCATGTGTTAAGCCTGATATTCAAAATCTAACCAGCTTGTAACCATGTTTGATTTCTTTGTGTCATGAGGTGGGAAAACATGTTCTATCTGGGCATGGTGCTTATGTCAGGAACCATTACAAGGAAATGCTTTATGCAGAAAGGTAAGAGCAGCCCTGAAATGTTTCATGCAAAATGGAAAGAAACTCATTCTCTTTAAATAAGAAACATCACCGGAATGAAGCATCTGCTCCTTTTACGTTTTTTTTCCCAAACCCTTGCTATACAAGCACTACACAGATGTGTTTCAAGAAAAGAAACCATATGTCTTAAAATTCATTTTCAATGTTCCTAACTGGTAACTTTATGTCTCCTTTCCTCCATGATTAGAATTTTTGGCTACCTGAATTCAATTTTTTTTCCAGGGGATTACACTAGTTTAAACACTGGTAAATCACAGCTCTTGAACACGTACTTAATTGGAAGCACACACTCCAGCATGACTTCAGTTAAAGGAATAAATCCTGGGCTGTCAGGGGCCATGGGTCTAATGTGGTGCAATATAGGACACTCTTACTTCTCACTAGCAGGCAGAGTATTGCACAGTGCTGGTTGGTGTTTAAGTTGTGTGACCAACATCTGCCAGTGAGAAAAGGAATGCTGTGTGGAGGCAGCAGAGAAAGCAAAGTCATCTCCACACAGGAGTAACAGGGAAAAGCATCAATGTTTTTGTCCACGCCCTCAAACTGGGCAAAAGAGGAAGCAGCAGCCATGGCAGCCTCCACACACCCTGGCCATTCTGTAAACTCAGCAGAGACCCTGGCTTGCAAACAGGTCCTGCCTTGCTGAAGCTGACTTGTTGGCATCCTCTAACAGAGTCACACCAAACAGAATTCCTGGCTCCTTTAGGATGAGGACAGGGGTATGGGATGAACGAACATTGTGCCACAGAGGCCCACCAAGCAGATACAGAGCTGGCAGGAGTTCCAGCTTTACAATTCACCAGGTGAAAAAAGGACGAAGATTGGAAATGCTTCTAGGGGGGGGAAAATCCCAGTCAGTCTGTTTGGCTTTGGCCAAAAGACAATATAATCAATGACTATCTTTTGCATTTACGGTCTTTCAGGACAGTTCAGTTCCAAGGCAGGCTTGGTGGAAGCTGAAGCAGGACAAGAGAAAAGATGAGGGAAGCCAGACAAGAACCTTCTGGTAGTTTCTGCCAGACTTCCCAAAATGTCACTTGGAGGAGATGTGACAGCCTTATTCTCCTTACTTGTCACTTCCTGGGAGTCTTTGAGGGAGCACATCATCTGGCCTCTAGATTGACCTCTGTACTCACAATGAGCCCTACACCTCTGTCAGAATACATTGATTTTGGGGATTCATTATTTTCAAGCATTGATCTCCCAGACTACAAAGAGGAGCTGAGGATGAACACCAGGAGGCCTGCACAGATGACCAAAGAGCTCCTAAACAAACTCCAGCATTAAAAGGAGGCCTACAGAGTGGGGAAGCTAGGATGAGTAGCTTGGGAAGAATAAAGAGAAATAGAGTAGATCCTATGAAGACAGGCTGAGAGAGTTGGGTTTGTTCACCTGGAGAAATCTCATGAGCGACCTTACAGCAGCCTTCCAGTAACTAAAGGGGTCCTGCAAGAAATCTGGAAAGGGATATTTTACAAGGACATGTAGTGACAGGACAAAGGGGAATGGCTTTAAACTGACAGAGGGGATATTGAAGGTAGACATAAAGAAAAATTCTTCCCTGTGAGGGTGGTGAGGCACTGGCACAGGTTGCCCAGAGAAGCTGTGGCTGCCCCATCCCTGTCAGTGTTCAAGGCCAGGTTGGACGGGGGTTAGAGCAACCTGCTCTAGTGGAGGATGGGGGTTGGAACTGGATGATTTTTAAGGTCTCTGCTCTAACCAAAATCTTCCGTGATATTGCCCAATCCCCAGGAAGGGGTAAATAAAACTACTGAATATGCTCTCAGCATAGGATAAAAATGTTTCTGTAATACACCTTAATCCTGGTTTTCATAAAACTGTTTCTACTTGGAAGCAACTTAGTTTTTATGATGCAAAGGATGGCTTCTTTTTAGCCTGATCATTATAACCTGGTTCTACTATTCAAAAAGAATCTAATCTGCATGTTCAAGGACAATATAATCCATTTTTTAGGGTAACAATTTTTTACAATTTAGTGTTCTTATAGGGAGAATTGTAAAAAGCGTCACTCATTTTACTTGTTGTTTTGTTGGGATCTTTTTAACATCCTTTACCCTTCAGTATCGGTTCCTGGCCTTCCTTCTCATTCTCAAGCAGTCTCTTTTCAGAAGAGTGGGAAATTCAATGGTTTTGCTAAGGATGCAGTGAAAGAATTAACTGAATATCAAAGATAGACATATGCAGTTCCAAAATAAGACATGCTTCTACAGTCTCTGTGCCTCCCAGTTCACTGCACTCTGTTTCATTGCTGGATGAGACCCATGGGCCCATCAAATATAGATCATAGAATAGTTAGGGTTGGAAAGGACCTTAAGATCATCTAGTTTCAAACCCCCTGCCATGGGCAGAGACACCACACACTAAACCACGTCACCCAAGACTCTGTCCACAATAATAAGGAGGAGTTACTGCTTAATGGTTGGGAGAGTTCCCTTTTTTAAGTGTTAACCATTACCAAGTCACTCATAATGGAAGTTGTGATAAAAGCATCTGATATTTTCTATGAGTGTAATGCACAAATAGTGACTGTTACCCTGCTATGAGGAACTGGGAAGGACAGAGAGATGTGCCCTATTTTTCTAAGAGAAAAAAAAAAGAAAAAAAAAAAAGAGGAAAAATGAAGGGCTTTAGTATCTTTAAATATTTCTAGTGCCCACTAATAAATTCAGCATAAATCTTTTTTAAATACATGTGAGTAGCTGTGACAGGATATAATGCTTGTCCCAAGCACAACAGTGTGAGTTCTGTTTCAAGCAGCAGAAGCTTATTTTTATCTGTTACAAAATTAGAATCACAAGAAAAGCTCTCATAAAGCCAGATCTGGAGAACAGAGCTGAGCCCACCTTGAACTGGAAGAGAAAGTTTATTAACTGCTTAAAGAGAGAGCAACATTTCTAAAATATCTGAAGTCAAAGAGGCACTTTCCCCCACACCCCTCCCAAAGAAAAGCTCCCTCTTTTATATAAATATCTCTGTCAAGATACTTCCTTTCTGGGAACACAAACTGTAACACACAGTAGCTCAGCTAAGCCCAGAGGAAGTTTGGTTGGTTCTGGCCTAACAAGATAAACTTGAAGAATACAGTCAGCAGTCAAGAGTTACAGTGAGTAGACATCGTGGTTAACTGGTGTACAGGGGGGAGATGCACTATTTGAAATCTCAGTATTTAATCTCCTTAATGTGGATTTTGAATTTGCAAATACATTACCATGTTTTAACAGCTATTTTCTGCAGAGGAGCGTTAGCTGTATTTACTTCCACACTTCCAAAAGCAGATTGTATTATTTGCTTAGAAGATTGAATTCTTCATTGCTGAAGGTAAAGTGGTAGGTAGGTTTAGGCTTAGGATCCTAATTGCAAGCAGTTGGGCTCAAGAAGGTTGGTCTTGGAAAATTAATCTACCTTGAAACCTCTTAATGGAGAGAACTCAGGCAGGACATGTATTTTTCTGTACTCATACTCATCACTTACCACTTCACTCTCACTCAGGCTCCCCTGAAATTAAAGCAGAGAGTTGCTAGTTCACGTGAATTGGGGATTTCAAATTTAATTTTGTACAGAGACAAAATGAGCTCATCCAGGGCACAACCAATGAAGAGCTTAAATAGCATCTGAAAGCAAATGGCAGTGCATTGCTGCAGTGGGAGAAGTGCTGGAGTGGCAGGAGTGCAGCTGCCCTCCAGTTTGCAGAATGGGCTGTAGCACTTGCATGTCTGCTGGCTGAGAAGAAATGTTGTCCTCATTTTCCCTGTCAGAGTTTGCTCCTCTAGGAACCCTCAGCACTGAAAAGTTCTTGTTCCTTACCAGAATTTGCTGGTGTCAGTTGAAATGTGGGAAACGCTGATATGAATGAGTCATCCTTGCTTATATGAGCCTTAGCAGGAAGATTTTTGGATATTAAAAAGCACAGTCACCTTACTGGAAACTATCAAATGCGATCTTACTTATTTTGTTCACCTTTTTGTGCTTTGCATTAAATTTCTAAAGGAAAGTAAATTCATTCTGCCAGTGAAAACTGCATGCTTGTCATCCCCCATTTCTTGGTCTCCCCTCCGGTTGCTTCCTGGAAGGGCCCAGCATTATTCCATAACTGGGAGGGGAAAGACAGTTCAGGACCACCTCTGACGAGGGGCAGGCTGAGTTTGAAGTGAGGACTGGCAGGATGCAGCAGTCCATGGGCACTGTCTCCCCATGAGCAGTTCCTGACCCTCTCCCAGCCCACACCCTCAGCCTGGTCTGCCTGCTCCACCACAGGCACTGGCACAACTTCCTCACGGGTGCTCAGAAGGAGTTCACAGCTGTCCTTCCTAGCAACATGGGCTAATCCTGGATGATTATGTGGAGAGTTATTTCCAAAGACTTTTGTTCTGTTTTGCTTTGGGTTTTTTCTCTGTTTTGGGTTTGGATTTGTTTTCTTTTTTGCTGGTTGGTTGGTTTTATTTTTTTTCGCCAATTTAAAAATGAAGTAAAGCCAGAGCTGACAGAACAGGGCAAACCCACAGAAGAATTGCTTTGGAAAGCTGTAGTTGACTGTGACTTGTAAATCCTTTTTTCCAGACTAAAGTCTGGAATAAGCATTCTTCAGTTTTGCTGCAGCTATTTTGAAGTTTCATGTGGGGTACAAGACATTTGACCCCAATCCTGTAACTCCATTCCAGAAAACACTCTGCATAGATGAAACTCTATCAATTTTAGTGCAGTTTCCCCAAAAGTGCAGTACAGCACATGTAAACAAGGGCAGTGAGACTAGCCATGCCTCAACTGAGACTGGGACCTGTGCAGCACAGCACTGCCGCACCAATCTTTCGAGAAAATTTGTAAAACTTTTTTGACCTACAAGCATCTTGGAAGGATTTTGCTTCACATCTGTTAGATTTTCAACCAGAATTTGAGACTTCATGTTCACTATTTACTCATTTACATTTGAAAATTATGTATGTAAAACCTGTATTTTGCTATTTGTTTAACTTCTAGGAAAAAATGAACTGGAAAAAAATAACAGAGTTTCAGTTAGCCAGGAGTATAATATATAGCCAATGTGGTAACATGACAGTGATGAAATACAGATAGTGCCAAAATGTTATAATGGCATGAGAGAGGGTCGTCTTCACTTTCAGTTTTCTTCTTTTACCTTAAGGACTCTTAATGTTCCTTGAAAAAGTGAGAATAAAACAAAGATATATTGGCTTGCTATTTTCTTTTTCCTTTTTATGTGCTGAGCAACTATGTCTGTTCCAGGATCCCCATCTTGAAATGAGTCTTCTGTCTCAGTATAAGTAATTTCTATTAGGTCACAATTGCCCCAAAAGTAACTGAAATCAAATGCTGGTTTATGAGCTCATGCCCACCATCTCTTGAGATTTCCTTCTTTTGGTAATCATAAAATCATAGAATAGCTAGGGTTGGACAGGACCCTAAGATCATCTAGTTCCAACCCCCCTGCCATGGGCAGGGACACCTCACACTAAACCATGCCACCCAAGGCTCTGTTCAACCTGGCCTTGAACACCGCCAGGGATGGAGCATTCACAGCTTCCCTGGGCAGCTCATTCCAGTGCCTCACCACCCTCACAGTAAAGAACTTCTTCCTTATATCTAATCTAAACTTCCCCTGTTTAAGTTTTAACCCGTTACCCCTTGTCCGTCACTACAGTCTCTAATGAAGAGTCCCTCTCCAGCATCCTTGTAGGCCCCCTTCGGATACTGGAAGGCTGCTATGAGCTTTCCACGCAGCCTTCTCTTCTCCAGGCTGAACAGCCCCAACTTTCTCAGCCTATCTTCACAGGGGAGGTGCTCCAGTCCCCTGATCATCCTCATGGCCCTCTTCTGGACTTGTTCCAACAGTTCTGTGCCCTTTTTATGTTGAGGACACCAGAACTGCACACAATTTGAAGTCCTTTCTTCAACCCAATAGCAGTTTATTGATAAGCAATGCACTTATAAAGAGCTGAAACACTGTCTTTCCAAAATATATATACAGTCACCTCAATTCTTACACTTGTCTATAATTTCAGTTTGCCCTCTAGTGACCATTCTGGGTTTTTTTGCTGCACTGAAAAGTACCCTGTTGACTGAAATATGTCAAAATATTTTTATTTGGCAATGAGATTTTTAAGAATAGTTATGAACTAAAAGAAAGCTAAGAACAATTAGTGGCCCACGAATTAATGTATTCCTACTGCATGCAAGTGAGACAATAAAAACTGGGATTCTTCATGAGAGAGCAGCTGAAAATATCTTATGTTATTTCCATAATAATAAAAATGAGGACATTTCAGTAACAGTTTACTGCACTGAAACTAGGATAGCAGAACGAGAAAGATGAGTAGGCTGAAGTGGTGTAAAAAGAACCAAACAAGCAGCAGAAATAATACTGAAAAAGTCTTGCAGTGGGGCCATTTCAAGTGCTGTTCATTACAAAGCCCAAGAAATGTACATTTTGTTTTAACATTTGTGGCAGGGTGTCACCAGGTGGAAAAATGGCTCTTATTCTTTGCTCTGCTTCTTTGGTCTTTTCTGTTGTTCTGGACCACAGTGAAGTTCTTAGCTGGCTTTATTTCTGCTATTTCAGCTTCAGGCTCGATACCTGTGTCTCTTGTCACTTCTTTAGCTTGCATCCATGAATGATAGTGGGTAGAGTATGTACACCTGCAAAAGAGACTCGTGTCATAGGTATGGTACCTGAGATCTGGCATGCCATTGCTGCTGTTCCTACCAGTCAATTTTTTGTTTAGACGTACCTTTTTACTACCACCACTTTGAATGATACTCTTCTTAATGGCTGGAGATCAGGAAAAGTTTTAAAGTGGTTCCTCATCTGATGCTTAAACCAATGTGGCTGTAGGATACTTTAGAGAAGTTATTTCAAAGAAGCTTGTGAAATAAGCTAAAGTGAATTGGAAGCACAGCATTTACTTAAATGCATTACATTTGCGAAATTCTATTTCAGCAACATAATTATTTAAATACAATCAAAACTAACAAGAAGCACTGCCACAAGATAGATCATAGAACAAATAATAAATACAAATATTTTTAAAGCCAAGTTATGTGAGGTCAAAATCTTTGTACCTTAGTTGTTGAGCTTCCTTACAACTTTATCAACCAACTGAAGACACCTTCTCATTTCTGCACGGCTTATTTCCCAGGAGCACAGGCTGTACTGTTTGTCTTTAAGAAAACAGTCTATTTCTTTGAAGTACTTCTTCAGTTTCAGCCTGTTGGGGTCTTTACTCCAAAAATGCAGGGTCTGCTTCTTGATTACACATGCCTCCAATTGCTCAATTTGCTGATAAAGTCCATTTTGGAACTGTCCTAAAGCTGTCTCATCCCAAGCAGCTAGAGTCAGATTCTTGCTAAAGATGTAGAAGATATTTTGGAAGATCTCTTCAATGGCCACTTTGACAGTCTCTTTCTGTCTGGGCTTTAGAACCTGGTTAGGAAATCTGAAGGACGTTTTCTCTCTTAGACATTGTTGAGGAAACTTTTCACTCATTTTGTCCAAAAGTTGCATGCTGTTCTTGACCACTTTTCTTCGCTGTAAAGGAAGGTGATTACACTGATGACAGGAGGTAGTGCTGGTGCACAACAGTATGATGCCAATTTCTATTAAGCCAAAAGCATTCATGATAAAAGCTCTTAAGTTCCTCCTTTCCTGTGTATAAATTCTGCAAGACAGGGTGGGATGCTATAAAGGTCATTCTTAGGCATCAGTTTCTTCAAAATCTTGAAATTTAATTGTTCTGTAGGAGAAGTTTTCTTTCATCATTACTTGGTTTTTAAGGTTTTCCCCCTTGTGTATGCTTTTGACACCACTTTCATTTTCTGCCTTATGACTTGTCTTCCCCCCCCCCCACTTTCTTTTTATTTCAGATGAATATTAAGATATTATATATCCCTCTTCCTCAGAAATTCTACAGGAAGTATAATGAGTATTTAGAAGGAAAAGTTACAATTTTTTTTTTTTTTTTTTTAGTGTTTTAGCAACGGGAGAACATGTTCCATATAACCTGTTCCAAATAACACTCTCAATGACGGGTCAGAGATCTGCTGAATAATATTGCCATCCTGTCTCCTCATCATGATTTATACTTCCAAAAATCAGTTAAATTTTCTCCACCTATTTTGATTCAGGAAAAATATTTTCTTTCTCCTCACCTTTCTCTTGACCATTCAGACATAAGGAGAGATGTCATATCATTAAAATATGCGTGTGTGTATACATATTTAAAAACACATATATGCATCAATATACCTATGTGTATTTTAATGCATATACACTGCTAATTTAACAAGGCCTCAATCTCAATTAGGGACTACAAGTGCCAAGTAAATACAAATACCCATGTGGGAACAGGTTAAATAATTGGATGAAATACTCTTCTCCCCCTTATGAGCAACTGAGCAATAATTGGTATCAATGCCAGTAGAGCAGAGGTCTGAATTCTGATAACAAATGGGAAGAGAAATTAATAGAGAAAACAAAAAGCACTCTAAAATACTGCCATTTTCTTTCCCTATATAACAGAGGGGGTTAGCACTGGGACTGTGTCTGGCTCCTGTCTTTGATTTTATTTGGTGAAAGCTAGTGTTAAACTATCATTTTTGCTGCCTCACCAGCCTCGTGTGCAAACATCTGTCATTGCAATGGCAATTCTCTGTAGGTGATTATGTCTTGATGAAGAGATCAGATAAACTACTTTTTAGTCTGAGATCTGGCTCTACTTTTGTTTTACTGTTGCAGCCACTGCTATATGGTTGGCTTCATTCCCAGACTGTGAATCTGATGAACAGGCAGATATATGAAACTATTTTAGGGCTTTGTTTTTGTTCAACATACAGGTATTTGGGAGGCTTAAAAAAATCATAAATTAAGCGGAGCTCTATTATTCACATGAGCAAACTCTTTGGATGCCTTGATGTTGCTTAAGCAACTTTGGATTGGAGGTACTGCTAGTGGGAGGAAAAAAAGAAACCCTATCACCTATGACAGTATTAAATACAGAAAGTAAGAACAATCATATAAAATGCATAACATAAGATGAAATCTTTTCACTTAATGGCAATGTTTATTACTTTGGAAAAACTGTCCTGAAGTGCCACTGAGATATATCACTTTTGCAAAAATACACATATTCCAATCATCACGAAATCAATAAAAATGGTTATAGTTCAAGAAAAAATATACTGCTACACCTATTTCCATAAATTATACTCAAGTATTTTTTTGCAAACTGTAATCATTATATGACCTTAATCCTTCTACTGACTTAAACAGGTAAACTTCTTCATATTCATTTTATCTCCCAGACACCCAAGTTCTTTCTTTCATCTTGCCATTAAAGAAAAAATAGTCTTTTACATGTTTCCACCTTGAGGAAGAGCTGCAGATGCCATCCTGGGTGTCACAAACAGTAGAGAGGGGGAAAAACAGAAGATTGTCTCTTTCAGATTTCTTACAATGGTAGAGCTGGTACAGGTATTTTATCCTTTTGTCTGTGTTAATAGATTGACACTCAGGTTTTTGTTTTATTTTGTTTTTAATAACAACAAATCTTTCTTCTCCACTCAGCCAGTTTCTTGATTATTGCACTGAGTAAAGCATCACTTGCATGATTCAAGATGCAGTCTCCTCTGACCATTTATCTTTATTGCTTAATTCAGAAACAAGCTGTTCATTAAAAGTAATGAGTGAAAGAGCTATCTGAGTGATAAGAAGCTGCAGCTCAGATTGTTGTTTATTTCTCTGCCTGCAGTTGAGGCACAGACCACTCTAACCTAGAATGAAGAGGAAATAGGTCTACAAAGCTCAACTGTATTTCCAGGTAGACCTAAAATCATTATTCTAGAAAGATTATTTGATCTTCAATCCTTTCATATTAAGAGAGGCTGAGAGAGTTGGGGTAGTGACAGGACAAAAGGCAACGGTTTTAAACTGATATAGAGGAGATTTAGGTAGATATTAGGGAAAAATTCTTTACCATGAGGGTGCTGAGGCACTGGAACAGGTTGCCCAGAGAAGTTGTGGCTGCCCCACCCCTCAAAGTGTTCACATCAAGGTTGCTTTGTCATATGAACAACCTGGTTTAGTGGAAGAAGTCCCTCCCCATGGCAGGGGAGTTGGAACTAGAGCTTTAAGGACCCTTACAGCCCAAACCAGTCCATGATTCTATGGTTCAATTCCATGCAAGAAAGATCTGCCCTTAAAAAGTCGTCTACCTATATATGTATTCATTCCAGGGGCGTTAAGACTAAAGCTTATATTAAAGCATAAAATTATATGCATAATTTTTATGTATTTCTAAAAACTGCAAAATACCATGTTGCTTCCCTAATGGCAGTTTTTCACTTTATTTTCTAATGCAACAGAGGAGTTAAATGAATATTTGATATCCCTTATGACACGGGTTCTTTTATCTCGGGCACCAAGGCAAGCGTTGACTTTAAGTTCAGCCTACATGTATGCTGGCAAATGGAGCAGTGCGAGGGAACGTTCCTGCAAAATAGTGTGGTTTTGGCCACTGGTAACTACCCCATATTAAATCACTTCATATAACCCTACATGAGCTTTCTGATATCAAAATAACCAGTTCTTCTCAACATTTTGTCTACTCTAGCTATCAGTTTCTTTTCTCCTTTAATAGTGTCTCCAAAACACACTATGCCACAAAGAAGTTCAAATATGTTCAGCTTTTCACTGCACAAGGTAGTTTCCTTCCCAGCTAGTCACTGCCTATGTTAAAACAGGTTTTCTCCATTATGTTTTCCATCACAGCTATAACTTGCTAGTCAATAACCTTTATACATATAGATTCTTTCTCTTTTTTTTTTTTTTTTTTAAGCAAAACCTTCAAATCCAGGCAAGACTGGATTCTTTGCTTTTCTCTTAAGACCATGTGGCTGGCCAGGTGCAAGCGTTATGCTGTGATGAACAAAGGCAAGGGCAGCCAAAAGCGACCATTACACTGATCAAAAATAGGATAGTAAAGGTTTAGTATTATTGCTGGAACCACTCCACATGAATGGATAAAGCAAGAAACATATATACACACAAAATCTGCCATGAAGATGAATACCTTATTCAGTTTTAAATTATTAAAGCACAGTTAATTTAGCTCATACGCTACAATTTCATTCACAATCACAGTCTGCATTGAGAAGTTAGGATCTAACTTAGGCATGTAACCTTCCCATCTCAACAGAAAATCTCTTGGTGTCCTGTTGACCTGTCTCAACACAAGTAACTGTCTTATCTTATGTTGAATAATTCACTAAAACTATTTCTGCAGTACATGCTTGTTCTTGCAAAGTTTTGTTTCAAGAAGTACAATTTTACAAATAAGTGTATAAACTAATAACTAAAAAACCCCAAAGTGCTATAAATTCAGTTTACCAGAAAAGAAATTTAACAGAGCAATCCTCAATGAGGCAGCAGCAAAGGGGTATTATCTACAAAAGCAGTAGAAACACAGAAGTAAAGAAACCTTATTATTTCCATTTATGTCACTAAAGGTTTGTCATCTTAATTATAAAAACATAGTGAAGAGCTTTTCTTCTGTTTAAAAAAAGAAGCAGGACCTGCTGCCCTTTTGGTAGGAAACTAGATTATCTGAGAATGTATTTACTTCCTTGCACTGACAGCTTGGAAATCAGCACATAGTGGGGCTGCCTTTTTGCCCTCACCAAGGCTTTTGCATCTGGTAATGTGAACTATAAAAAAACCTGGGCACAAACAGCTTCTTTGGATGCTTTGCTGGAAATATGGCATGATTTAACATACTGTACAGACATTTACTCTGAAAAAGTGCTCAGACTTCATACACTTGAATACGCATGGCATTCATTTTTTTAGTAAGTGAATAACTGAAGAATTACCAGACTATTCTGAGTGGCAGCATTCTTAATATGGAGGATCTCTCGCAATCATTTTAAAATGAGAAAAAACACAGGTGCCCAAGCTAAAATTGCTTTTCAAACTTTTTGTTTTTCTCAAAAAGCCAGACATTTTCAAAGATAAGCCTGCATTTGAACAGTAATCTTTATGAAATCTAAACAGTCTAAAGAGAAAATACTTTGGTATTCTCATGGAGAATACCATGACAAAAGTCATGAAAAATACTTGAGCATATAAATAAAAATGGGAAAAACTAAATGTATTTAAATATGCTGAAAAATTAGCATAAAATATGAAGCAAATACATAAGGAAATGGGCAACTATGTGAAGTAATTTTAGTTTTACAGTTACAGAGACAAGCAACAGGAGCCAACTCAGACCATTCTGGCAGGTCAGGACAGGGAGGGATTGATATCATGCATTCGAGGGCCACAGCTGGATTTCTCTCTTCTCTGGCATCACAAGGGTGACCAACAATGGATTGCGTTCCCTGAAAAAAAAACCATCCAAGGCAGCACCTCCTGGAGGTGGACGCCAGTGCAGAGACAGGCTGCTGAGCAGAAACAGCTGGGAGAGGGAAAATGCAGCCTCACAAGATTTTTAAAGGGGGCATATTCATGAGACAGGGAAGTGAGCTCCCTTT